GAAATGCATTTTAAAAAAAATTAATTGTATGGCTTATTTTATCGACTAATACAATTATATTCCTGGAAATATCCACTTTATAACTAACCAATCAAAGGGGTTTTCAGGGTCCTTTTGAACTCTTAATGCCTTCATGAGGTCTCTTAGTATTAGCGTGGATATGTTTGATTTGATGCTCTTTTTTTTTATTGTACGTCTATTTTCTATTGATAAAACTGGAACAATTATCATCCCATAAAAATCATGCGAATCTTAGTTGTTTTCCAAATATTGGACTCAAAATTGTGGTGACTTCTCTTTAGCTCCATTTAGAAGAAATATAAATAGCTGACTAGCGATAAATAATAATGAAGAAACGTGTTACTTGGATTAGTATTGGGCGAGTTTTGACAGGATTGATCATAACGGAGACCATCTTCCCAACTATCCCTATTAATTTTGGTTTTGGTTTTGGACAATAATAATGTCATTGTTACTATTTGGACAATAAGTCTTCATTCATATCATCTGTTGTTTTCTATCAATTCTACAAACCAGATGAAAGATTGACTTAAACTTCTAGTCTTTGTCCCCTTGCTATTATTAGGATGATTAAGAAGACAAATGAATTATGATTTTTTTGGTTAAAGGAATTATGTTTTATCGTTCAGAATTCATCTTTATAGTTCATATTCGTGGACTAGTTTATATATTTTTGTAAACTGGATTATACTATTTTTTCATTTATTTTATGTGAAAGTATTTTACATGCAGTAGTAGCGATTGATCATTTCAGGATAGACACACAAAAATACCGAAGATTATAGGTATACTCAAATATCTTTTTTGCATTCGCTCTTGACTTGTTAAAAACAAATACTCGCAAATTCATGGCAATATTTGGTTAAAAATGTTATACTTGCTGGTTACTTATCGCCCCATATTACTTGCTACTTGCAAATCACTCATAACTTACTTGCATGTCATTTGTCTTAGTTTTTTTTTTACCCGCTTAAAATTCAGTTGGTAAAGTCATATTGCTTATCATAATCATTCATTTAATATTGTACATGTTACCTGAGATGTACTAGCAAATATCTATTGTGACAACGATGGATACTTGTTATTTGTTAAACGAATACGAAGCAAATAAAGCGTCCAGACAAATAACAAATCTATTATATAAAAGTTGGGTTGTGTCTCACAATTTTGACACATCATCATTTTTTTATGTGATACATCAGCGTTAACAAAAAAATCTGATATTTTAAATTTTAAAATAATAATTAAGACATTTATGAGTCTTGGAACTCATTTCATCTCTTTACTACTGCCAAATTCCTCTTTGAATCATTAGTCAGAATTTCAATCGGATTTTAATGGCAAAGCTTAAATCCGAGTTTTGAAATTTCACTGGGATTATACGAGTTTGTAAGTGAAGGAAGTAACTGTGCTCATGGCTATGACTTCAAGAGGTGGTGATTGCTATCTTCAGATATTGGAGAAGATTTGAGAAAAAAAAAGATATTGGAGAAAGAAGGTCGCACGAAAATTCAGTTAGAAGTTTATGAAGGATTAAATAGCTTGATATTATTGGTAGAAAGTGGGTTTGCGTATCTAAATAACCTGTAACATTTTAACGAATTGTGTTCTCTCTAAAATGAGAAAATATAAAAAATGGTAAAGGCGAATGTTGATATCACTATGTATGTTTGTTGCCATTATGATGAATTAATTGTATGGTTTAACCTCATTCTTTTTTTATTGCTTGGGCTACAACTTACAAATGTTATGGGGGAGACGTAATAAAGACAACAAAGAGGAGGTTATAGAGAAAGCAGAGAAGGATTTAGAAGGAGTGAGAGGACAAAAAGTTTTCTCGGGAAAGAATATCAAAAGAGTAATTTTTTAAAACTGTGATGACCATAAATGATCGATAAATTTGTTATGATCGGATGATTTCCCAGTCTGCATAATTAGTAATTGTTTTATCATCTTCTATTCCTCATGAGTGTTAATTGGAGGTTGTTCAGCTGCTCTCATGGGAGACGAGACTTAGGAGTTAGGATCACAATATGATCACATTTTGTATTCATTATCTAGGTATTTTTGTTATAACATAATTTAGGCAGTGTGTTATTAAACGATTTCATATTTAGACAGAAATAGAATGTAATTCCCCCATAAGGCAATAATTCTTTCTACGCTCGATTATTGGGGTGCAAAGTTTATGAAAGAACGATTGGTAAGACTAGATCCTTACGTAATTTTAGAAGTTATAGAAAAGTATTTGTACTTTCTTAAATGTGATATGGCGATGTGTAGTTTGCATGGATGTAAGTTTTTTTTTGTGTGTGCTAATTGTTAACATATAAAAAAAGTCAGAAAGTTTCCTGCAATTTAAGCTGATAATCTAAATTTCATGTATAATATAAAACTTTCAATTAAGTGATCATATAACTTAAGCTAGAAAACATTAATTATTTTCTTTTTAGTTTTTAATATGTGGTTGATCACAACCGAAACTAACTGGAAATTTAGAGTAAAAACTACAGAAAATTGAAAAATGTGTTTACATTATAATAAAAATAAATACAAAAAAATAATTTCAACATATATCAATTCATACATTTTGTCAAATGACCGCTTCTATATCGAATTAGGTTGTATTTGTTAAGATGTTTTTCATACAAGTATCATATTATACAACATAAATTATAAATTTATAAAGTATACAAGCCCGTGTGTACACACGGGTCTTCACCTAGTCTATTATATAAAGAGTGGGTTGTGTCTCACAAACTTGACACATCAGCTCTTCTCCTTATGACACATCAGCTTTGAATTTATTATGAAAAAAGTATTTACACCAATATTTTTTTTTAATAATCTCATAAATTAAAAAAGAAAGAAATGTCCATTTTTTATTAATAGCACTCATTATTATATCATTAATATTATTCCTAGAAATTGGAAAGATGAAATAAAATGGTTATCATGGTCATAGTTTTTAAATTTGATTATTACGGTGATAGTTTTTACAAATATAGTAAACTTCATCTAATGAAATAACTTGGTAAAACTGAGATGATTAATTTGCTGTGAATTATTTACTATCTTTATAATTGTAATCTCTTAACAAAATAGAGATGTGAGTTATTTACTAACTAAAAATTTATTTACGAACTAAAATAGAGAATCAGAAATAAACTATTTAAAGCTTTATTAAAATTCTTTTCGGCTAATTATATGATTATTTTTAAACATAACCAGTTGGAATGATTGATAAACCTTTTATATTTTTAAATTTGAAAATGTTACAACTACAATCACGGATGTAACTATGTAAGTAACCATTTTGGGAACAAATTTTAATACAATTAAAATTTACAGTTTATCTTACTATATTTTCATGTATGTATAGTCTTTCCAGAGGAATTTTATAATTGTAAGGTTTGGAATTTTAATATGTTTTTTTAATTCAAATGTTTCTTCGTCTAAAGTCATTGATTTGAGTTTGTTATATGCCAATTTTCAGTACCTAAGTTTTCTACTTCTACAGAAATCATCCCAACAAATGAAGATGTCAAGAAAATGGAAATGTGTGACCAAAACCTTGAAAATATTTTAAAATCATGCAAGTTTTCTTACCAGATAGTATATGGTAATGGAACTATAGAATCATAAGACGTCATTTTGAGAAAACTTGGGCTAATGGTTTTTGAATCTGAACTCAACTGCATCAATAAGATTGATACTGCGCTTATTGAAAGTGTGAAGATTGTGATTTAAAACCAGGCGGAGATGCTCAAAGTTGACATGTTTCTGATTCCCACAAGAGTATTGGTGGCTCTTTAGGCAAAAAAATCAAGAATGGAGAGTTCCATTTGCTGTTTAGAGGAGACAATGCTAATGTTATCTGTTACTTGACACTCAAGTTGGTAAGATTTCACTCTTTTATCGTTTGTAAAGACTGCCCCAAAGTAGACGGCAATGCGTATTAAATTAAAGGTTGTTCCATCTTTTTTTCCAAGAATAACAGAGTAGAAGGCAGTGATATCACCACACTAATGGTAGTTTCTGTGTAGTTCAATGCACAAAATTAGAAGGATACAAAGAGGTTCTTGGATTTATACATATGTGGTGAAGATTATGTGGTCAATGGAAAAATTGCTTCTAGGAAAATTAAGAGAGAAAAGTACTAGCTATTAATAAGGTACTTCGTTATCTCCATTCTCATTATTATTTTTTGCTGCATTTTTAAAAATTTGTGTAAAGAGAAAAATATAAAAAGTAAAGGGCAAAGAGAGAGTCAAAATTTACAGATAATATACCAAGGAGATGGCTAACAAAAAGAAGGAGAGAGCGAAGGATATTGCTCTCTCCTCTAAGATGTACAAGAAGTTTTCATGTATATGTTTGATTTTTTTAAGGAACAAATAATTAAAGAATTTAGGTTTTTATAATTATAATTAGAGTAAACGAAAAGTGTTTTACATTTAAAAATTTTAAGTAAAAGAGAGTAAAAAAACTATTATGGGAAGTTTACAAAAAGATTAAATCAACAGAAATACTCAGAAAATAGAAGAAAAAGTTATAACAAATCACATTACTCTAAATAGTAAAAACATTTTGTCACTCATCGAATAACCAATCTTTTATCTTGAATTAGGTTATATTTGTTAAAGTATATTTTTTACCAATCAAAACTTAACTCCTAGACACTAAATATATACGAAATTTATTTTATTATATTAAATACAACATAAAAAATCTAAATAATATATAAACCCGCGTACACGCGGGTTTTCACCTAGTATCTAAGTAAAATTATACCCACCCTACATTAATCATCACAAAACACATGGGACATGGGTGTATATATATATTTTTGAAAGAATGTTAAATTCAAGCCCAATGGGCCTTTGGGACGGCCCAAATCGTATTTTGGACTGAACCACTCGTCTCGTGTGATGAAGTATTTCTTGATAATATTGGTGAAAGCACGAATGGAGTGGATCACCAAGACTCCTTTTTTTTCTTATCGGTCACTATATATAAAAACCTAATCATTTCTCTGCCATTTCAAGATTAAATTCGTTGCAGAGACGACGGAGATGGCAGAGTATTTGGTAACCGGAGGAACTGGATTCATCGCTTCTTACATCGTTAAATCACTCCTCGAACTCGGACACACCGTTCGAACCACTGTCCGAGACCCTCGTAACTGATTCTCACACAAAACATATTCAAGTTTTTGTCAAATTTTCGATCTTTCTAATTTTGGTTTTTTTATTTGATCTGTGTTGAAAAAGGGGATGAAGAAAAAGTGGGTTTTCTATGGGAATTGAAAGGAGCGAAACAGAGGCTGAAGATTTTCAAAGCTGATCTAACGGTGGAAGGAAGCTTCGACGAAGCGGTGAACGGCGTCGATGGAGTATTCCACACGGCTTCTCCTGTTCTTGTTCCACAGGATCACAACATTCAAGAGACCTTGGTTGATCCAATCATAAAAGGAACAACCAATGTGATGAACTCTTGTGCCAAATCCAAAACCACTTTGAAAAGGATCGTTCTTACATCTTCTTGCTCTTCGATACGGTACCGTTTCGATGCCACGAAAGCCTCTCCGCTCAATGAGTCTCATTGGAGCGACCCTGCGTATTGCAAACGGTTCAATGTGAGAAAAACACTTCTTCTTACTCTCTAATCTGCTTGAAGTTTTTTATTAGAAAATGGGAATCCATTGATGGCGTGTGTTGTTGAAATGATGCATAGCTTTGGTATGGATATGCAAAGACTCTAGGCGAGAGAGACGCTTGGAGGATAGCTGAAGAGAAAGGGTTAAACTTGGTGGTTGTGAATCCTTCCTTTGTGGTTGGTCCATTGCTTGGACCAAAACCCACAAGTACTCTACTTATGATCTTGGCCATTGTCAAAGGCCTTGCTGGAGAGTATCCTAATTTCACTGTCGGGTTTGTGCACATAGACGATGTTGTTGCTGCTCATGTGTTAGCCATGGAAGAGCCTAAAGCATCAGGGAGAATCGTATGTTCGAGTTCGGTTGCTCACTGGTCTGAGATCATTGAGTTGCTAAGAAACAAGTATCCCAATTACCCATTTGAGAACAAGTAAAATCTCAGTCACTAGATTCACCAAGATTTCATAGTCCATCTCATTTTGTAGATAGATTGATTGATTCTTTGTTTATCTTTACAGGTGCAGTAACAAAGAAGGAGACAATAGTCCACATAGTATGGATACAAGGAAGATACATGAGCTTGGATTTGGATCCTTTAAGTCATTGCCTGAGATGTTCGATGATTGTATCCGCAGTTTTCAGCTGAAGGGTCTGCTCTGAAGATTCATCTCTCTCTCTAACTTTACTGTTAATGGTTATGGATTAAACGCTAGGAAGTTGTTGTGACTAATTGAAAGAACCTCTTTAGTTACTGATTCCAGTAATCAATAAGCTGGTTTTGATCAATCACTTGTTCTAATCTCTGTAGTTTTTTAAGTATGAGCAAATGATCCCAAGTTGTGTGGCTTTCAACTAAATGGGTGCTTTTAAGCTACTGGGCTGAGAATCATATCTCTCTTTTAGCCCAAACACCAATACATTGAAGCATCATCATCATCATGTGACTAAAATGCCTCAACAGAAAAGTTAAAAGTAATATAATCTCACAATTTCATAAAACACTAATAATATAGCATCAAGAACTTGAAAGCTTATCATAAGATCCTCTACTTCATCAATAGCTTCAAGAGCTTCCAAAGCTTATCACAAGATTCATTAAGTATGAAATATGAATATTCTATATAGAAAGCTTATAATATAGCATCAAGAGCTTCTCGCATGTGCATCTCAAGCTCTCCTTCTTATAGTATCTCACGTTATTGAAACATGCCACACGCACGTACAGAAAAAAGATATACAAGAGCATGTGCAACCACAAAGTAGTGGAAGAGAGTGGGAGAGTTACTACTAATACTAAAGAGTATAAACTCATCCTTTGACTTTTCCTCATTCCCAATCACCTTTTTTTTTTCTTATATCATTATCAATTAAATTCCAAAATGCGATACAGCTGGTTATAAAATATTTGTGAGTTAATTGAATAACCTGACAAAACCAACCCCTGACTTGTTGCCACTTCCGTGCAATTCCCATCTTTAATTTTCCACTCTCCTCTTCACTATTCAACCTACTTTTCTTTATATAAAGACAGTAAAATTAAATAAAAAAACCATTTATTTTTCATAATCAAGAACCATAATCAATAAAAATTATAATGCTGTTTTGTTTTGTGATGGCGCGGCGAATCAGCAGAGAAACAGTGAAGAAAGATGCCACCAAAAGTTTACGAATTGTCACTTTCTATTAGATTCTTAGAATCGCAACACGTCAGAATCTAACGCTCCACTGGTAAGGGATACAAAGATGTGACAAATAAATGGCGATAAGAACAATGAAACAACAAATTAAATAAAAATATTAGTATCATTAAGAAAAATAAAAAGAGGTTACAAAAAGATGGAAGTGTAATGCAAATCAAACTCTTATTAATTTTGGACGGCTCTATAAAGCACAATGGAAAAACCCAAAAGTAATAAAGAGAAACATAAGAAGCAAAACTAGTATTGAATCTTTCACAACTTAACACTTCCATCTTCATTAACCGAAATTAAACAAAGTCCCTAATTGCAAAACCCGGCTAATTATGTCTTAAGATCTTACTTCTCTCCGGAACACACTTATCTTTGTGTCTTGAATACTAAAAAAACATAAACTCTTCTCACTTGAAAAAAAAAGAAAACATAATGGAAAAATCCTAATTTAAGCTGCAAAACTTTTCATGGGGCAAGAAGGAATGTTGAGAGGCTGGATTTGATCGAGAAAGGCGAAACTAGAGTCATCACCTAGCTCGAGCTCAACATCTCCAAAGTCAAAATCCGGTAGCTCGCTTGGACCACTGTCTTCGAATCCATCAATGTCATCGAGCAAACCCAAACCATCAAGCTGATCATCATTGAGGAAACAATCAAAGTCTCCTACAGTAGCCATTGGTCCATCATCAGCAAAGAAACCAAGATCAGGGATTTGTAGATCAGCAAAGTTGAAATCAAACAACATTTCCTTGCTCGAATCCACACCAACAGTAGCATCATCCGGAGTGATCTTGATCTTGACCTCTTCTTTAACATTGACACAAGTAAGAGCTGAAGCTGAAGTATCTTGCTCAAGAGGAGCAATAGGTGAAGAGCGAGAGCATTGACTGGTCTCAGACGAAGAAGCAGCAGGTTTAGCATTCTCAGACACAGACACAGAAGCGACAAGAGCATCATACTCTTTCTTCTTGTCTTTATAAGCTTGATGAGCTTCTTCTTCAGTCTCAAAAGTACCTAACCATGTCCTGATCTTAGTGATAGGATGTCTAATCTCAGCAGCCCATTTTCCCCATTTCCTCTGCCTAACACCAACAGGCTTCTTAGTCAACCGATTACGAGAAGCAGCCAAAGCAGCAGCTGCTTTCTTGACGATGGTTTTGGTGCTGTCCTGAGAAGAACTCACAGAAGGAGCAGATTCCAATGATGGAAAGTTGATCTCACGGACGATTCTTTTCACTTTACGAGGCTTAGGCTCGTCTTCGTCGCTAGAGGAATCATCAGTAGCATAAGGGTCGTTCACAATGATACGAATTTTTCTCAAGGTTTGGGTTTCTTGAGGATGGGACAGTAAAGAGTTGTTTCTCTTTGGTTTCTTCGTACCACTCAAAGACTGTTGTTTTCTTAGCTCTACCATTGTTGTTTTCACACCCAAATCCTCAAAATACCCAGAAAACAAAAAAAGGACAAAACTTTTCAAAACTCTGTATCAAAACTTTGGAGAAAAAAAAGATTTTTAAAATCTCAGCGGACTATGAAAAAAGAGAATTTTTGCTGCTTTATGTGAAAACCCCCAAATACTTCAACGCCAGAACAAGTCCTGAGATGAAAATGAAACATAGAGAGGTGTTTAATCTTACAGATCTTAAAAGGTATTACGAAAATGGAAGAAATGGAAAAAAGGATGAGAGATGATTCGATACCTTTTGGGTCTTAAGCGCATGGAAAGAGACGGAATCTCGAGAACAAGCCTCTGCTTTGAGCAGAAGTGAAGAGCGTTTGAAAAAGCAGCCAGACCAGATTTCAAGGAAGAAGATGAAGAGGATGATGAAATCGGACAAGATAACTGGGTCAGAGACAAAATCACAGTCGATTCAAAACCAGCCGACATAAATCCGCGTCACAAACGCTCCGATTTCTCCTTACGAAACCCTAAGTTCACTATTTCTGTTCTTCGAAAAGACACAGACAAAAACAACAACAAGTAGTGAGAACCAGAAACCAAATAAAACCCAAATAGCTAAAACCCCAGAGCAGAGAGAAAGAGAGAGAGAGAGAGATTAGAAATCTGGGGAGGAGAATTTTTTTCTTTGATTTATATAAAAGAAAAGAAAAAACGAAGGATCCGTGACAAATTTTTCAGAGAAGAAAACAGTAAACAAGTGTTAAAAAAACTCGATTTTTTACAAATACCTCACAGGGAAGCGACGCAAATCTCTAGAGAGAAGATAAAACATAAACATCAAACAAAAACAATAAACAAATCCAAGAAGAAAACGATTTCTTTTATTATAAATTCATGGAGAAACGCAGAAGCAATAAAATATTTATTAACCTTGTTTGGTGTGCTTCTTCCGATTCTCTCTCTCTCTCTCACTATCTTTGATTTTTTGTTGGGTGCTGTGAATAAAGCTTTCACGCTCTTTATATTCTGATTTCACATATATAACAACACTATTGCTTGATTTATTTCACTTTTTTCAATGACGGTCAAAAGGAACCATTCAAAGAAAAAGAATAGAGCGACAAATATGGGAAATGAAATATTCAGTTTTTAGATTTGTAACAGCCAATTAGAAACTAAAATGGTAATATTTACAATTTCTGTAAAATAATCTTTACGAATTTATAGCATATTCCCATTTATTGACCAACTAAGTCATTTAATAGATTTTTTCAGAACCAAAAATAACAGTATTTGACTGTTTTAAATATATATTTTTTCTGCGTTACAGGAAAGAAATTTTTTTAGAAAGGAATTGTTAGCAAGATATATAGTAATCGGGAGACATATAATAAAATTAGCTGGCAATGGTGGAAAGTAGGGACAATTTAACATTAATGGCGCATGACTCTCTCTATACTCATGCATCTATCATGGCCCGCCAAGAATCCGAGCGCGTGGTGCTCACTCTCTCAGTGCCACAAATTATTTTATGAAAATCATGAGTCATTTTCTAAATCTCTTTTTTTTTTTAAATATCACAGATTTTCTAATCTTTTTGTTTGTTGAGTTAAAAGTTTATAATTTTGCCGACAAAACAGAACTTTGTATAAATTAAAAAATAAAAATAAAAAACCGACTCTTTTGTTTATTTGGATAAATATCTAATTTGTTGGTATAAAATCTTCTAGTTATAGTTAAAACAATCTTAAAAACAATCTTAACTATATTTAAAAAAATCTATGAGATATCTTTACAAAAATCTAGCTAACTCCAATTTTCAATTAATTTTCTTATTTTAATTAAAAACAGAAACTAAATCATTTGATTGAATAGAACCAAAATCTTAATCGAAACTCAAAAAAACTTACACGTTTGATGTTTTCTTACATAAAAATATACATATATATATATATATTTAACTACAGTAGAGAATAGTGACTAAAAAATATATTTAACAGTATTTGATTGTAGTTAAATATACATAGGTGATACATAGGTGATACGAAGTATCCGCTTACAACAGAATAGAAAATTTTAAATTAGAATACAACAAATCACAATAAAAAGCTATTTTTAGCTAAGATATTATCTGAATGATTTTTTTACAATCTGTTTGGTCTCAATTTTTATGCTCATTTAAATTAGTAACTTTTTTAGGGATAATTTTTTCAGTTTCTTAATTTCTAGCAGCATACCTTGCTTAGCTAAATAAGTTATAATTTTTTTACAAGGCATAGACTGAAAAAAAAATCCAATACTCAAAATACTATAGAAATGTAGAAACGTAAGCAACTAATTTAAAGTAATGCATGGTACAAGTCTTGACTTTCCCTCACTCTATTATCAAATGTTCAAAATTGTCTACAAAGTAGTGATGTGGTCGTGGAATAAATATCAAACTAAAAAATAATCAAGCAACAAACTGTCGATTTAAGGAAGAACAGTCATATGATTAATTGGAGGTGGAACGAAAGTGCTGATTTATATATATAATCTTTGTCGAGATTTAGCGAATAATGTTTAAGACACATGTGACACGTGTAGGAAAATATTCTTCCTATGTTTTGCTTCAATCTTACTAAAAGTGAGTTTTAGTCTCTATCATCAATCATAACAATTAACCTCATAACATTATCATAATACCTTTTTTGTAAAAGTGGCAAAGAAATGAAAATTTGACAAAATAAAAAACAGGTGGTCTATGCATTATGAGATACTATTACATGGTGTAGAAGACTATCACATGAGCAACCTGACTGATGATAGATCACACGATAATGTGAAAGTGACCATTATGAAAGTCATGGATAACATAAGCATGTTGTGAGTATGTGACTTTAATACCGACTCTAAAAACCAAAGTAAAAATCACAAAACAAAGATGATATAATATTTTCCTTCCATCTTATACATATCTAGCGTTAATTCATATATATAATTATACTTGTGAGATATTTATTGTCATTCCTGATATTTAGGTTTGTACCAAAATCAAGCCTCTTAATTTATCAAATCGCATAAAGCTTTCCAAAACACCTTCCAATAAGACCAAAACCTTTCCATATGTGACCAAAGGAGCTTTTAACACGGGATTCAAGATATCATCCATTTAGAAACATATGATTCTTGCTATAATTTTAGGATCAAAAGAAAAACCAACATTTGATCACACACTTGCCTACTATATAACTGAGTTGGTAAAACGAGTATCTAAAGGTGTGACAAAATTTAATGGGGACACGACCCGGTGTTGGTAATAATAATAACTAAGAAATAAAGAAGGGAACAAAAAAAAGAAGGAAGAGTGTATATATGAAATAGTTTGGTAAGAGAATCTAATTTGTCTGGCATGTGAGATGCACGTGAGAAGGAGAGATATGGGTTCATAGGAGCACCACGTCGTCACCATTTAGGTGAAGAGGTAACATCGTCTCTTCGCCACCTGCCAAGTTCGCAGAGGTCGTAAGGGCCCCTTGTAAATCTAATGGTCCTCCTCTCTGTATCACGTGATCTCTTATAAAGTAGTCTCCCCACTATACTACTATTTTATAACATGTTGCGATCTTTCTTATCTTTCTTACGTTCTGAGGTTATTATTAAATGAACATGTTACCAAAATGTTCTTTTGGTGCGTGATAAGGCGTTTCGGTATAAGATGTTTTTTTGTCAGTGCATGTGCATGCATTCACTCTATTTGTAGTAAAAAGAATTATACGAACAAACTTTTTTTTGTTTCATCTAATTTCTTTAATTAGTAATCACTAATCTCTGAAAACACAGTAGCACAAAAAAAAAATCTCAGAAGATGTGAAGTAAAAAACGTTTTTAATTTGTGGTTTAGTGTCAAGATTGACGACGACTAAAGAGAGATACTTATAACTATAAATAAATCTCCTTGTTGATATACATGTTCTTGTCTGAAATTTTCAATAGCCACGTCTTGTGGAGTTTGTTTATAATCAGGATTACGATGCCACACACTAAAGACTAGTTCAGTGTAATGCTAAATTTAGCAAATCTAATCTTTGATAACACCGCAAATTTCGTATATTAATCTATGTTCTAAATTTGCAAGACAACCACCATATTTTTCTCAGTGATTCTGTAGACATACAATTATGGCGAGTTTTTTTGCAAAACGTTTTTTTATTTTATAGCAAACTAATATCGTTTTATAAAACTATGATGATCCTAACAAGCAAGTTTACTTCACATACTAAACCAACACATAGTTAAAAGGCTTACTTAGGAAAATAAAACAAATATCTGAAAACACAATAGCACGAGAAACAATTCTCTCAAAAGAAACTTGTGGATTAAATGTCAAGATTGACGACTCCTAGAAAAAGATACATAACTATAAATAAATCTTACTGTTGATATACATGTTCGTGTGAAATTTTCAATAGCCATGTCTTGTGAAGTTTATTTCTAAGGCACATTTTCCGAACCTGAACAATTTATCCAAACTCGACCCGAAAAAGAGAAATCGAATCCAAACCGAAACCAATAAATACCTAAACTACGGTTTTTAATTTTCTAAATCTAAAAAACCAAAACCAAACTGAACCGAACCGAAAATCTAAATGGATATCCGAAATATCCGAAATACAATTATATACCTAAAATACTAACTATATTTAGACATAATAACCTAAAATTACAATTATAAATCTAAAATATGAGTTATTTTTGTCCTGAAAATGATAAAAAAAAACCAAAATAATTTAAATATACTAAAGTTTTTAGTTATATTTGTTAAGTTTTGCCAAATTATATTTGCATTTAACCAATTTTCTTTAAATTTAATTATTTTTATTTAATTTTTCTTATTTTTTGGATATCTAAATCCGAACCGAACTCGAACCGAACATGATCGAATATAACCGAATCTGAACCGAAATTCCAAAAATACTCAAATGGATTTTAAATCTGAAAATCGAAAATCCAAAAACCCAAATTATCCGAACCAAACTCAATTAAATACTCGAACGCCTAGGCCTGTTTATTTCTAATCTTGATTATGGTTGATGCCACTGCACAGTAAAGACTAGTTCAGTGAACCCTTAATTTTAGCCAATCTAATCTTTAAATTTCACCGCAAATCTTGTGTTGTTAATCTATGTTCTAAATTTGCAAGACAATCACCATATTTTTCTTGGTGATTCTGGATAATTATGGTAATTTTTTTTGCGGACTCTTTTTATTTATTAGCACACTAATCTTGTTTCATAAACTATGATGACCCTAAGCAACATTTTTACTTCACATACTAACCCAAGTACCCAACGCACATAATTAAAAGGCTTACATAGGAAAAATCAAAACCATATGATTAAACTTCTTTCGCAAATTATGAATTGACATGGATAATCAAAATACTATGAATGAAAGAGAGAGAATAGCAACATAATATCCTCTTCCTCATTAATTATGAGTTAAGCACAAACTGTGCACAGGCGGAACTAAGAAAAATTCCTACTTGACAATATATTTATAAACCTTGTCATATATACAAAATGACAGGGGTTAAATCATTAAAAAACTAATTAATTGATCAAAATATCATTACAAAAATATGTTTACATTAATGAGTCTTAAAAATGATATGGGTCAGCTGACCCCTAATCATTCACTAGCTCCACCACTGTGCACAATCCGTTGAATACACCATCTAGGTAATAACTAATAAGCGTTATGGAATATGCACTTCATGCCCATATAAAAGTTTAAAGCTCAACATGAAGAAGGGAGAGTACACGTCGATTATCTTTCATGCCATTTAATTCATAAACCACTACAAACAAAAATAGATTATCTCTCTATCATAATGCATCAATTTGATTTGACAACGTTAAGTTGCTACTATGATATCTTCATTTGCAAACCTTCTCTAATATATTGTATTTTTCATCTCTTAATAATCTAAGATTTGATAAATATATACAACGAGTAG